AAATATCCTTCAGAATATCTGGATCCCATATGCTTTCCGAAATTTCGTTCAGCACAATGGTCCAGAACTTGTGGTGTCAACCAAAGTAAATTTACTTTGGCTCCGGTGACTTGCCCTAATATAGTTCCAGCAAACTGACTTGGCTTTGGCTCTGGTGACTTGCCCTAATAGAGTTCCGGCAAACTGACTTGGCTTTGGTTCTGGTGACTTGCCCTAATAGAGTTCCGGCAAACTGACTTGGCTTTGGTTCTGGTGACTTGCCCTAATAGAGTTCCGGCAAACTGACTTGGCTTTGGTTCTGGTGACTTGCCCTAATAGGGTTCTAGCAAACTGACTTGACTTTGGCTCTGGTGACTTGCTCTAATAGGGTTCCGGCAAACTGACTTGGCTTTGGTTCTGGTGAGTTCTGGTGAGTTTATCATTTTTATAATAAAGTTTTGGTAAGTTGGTTACAAACAAGGTTTTGGTGGCTTTTGCTCTTCATTTTCAAGCATCCCTTCTCAAGCTTTTTACCCCAATGGAACCTCTACAACTACACAGCTGGAGGTATTAGCATGGTCCACAGGGTAGGTAACAAGTCACGTAAAAAGAGATAAGTCAACTTTACACTGGGAGTCATTGACGGGCTTCCAGGGTGACGTATACATATGCCTACAGTTGACTTTAAGGCCCACCTGTTGTAGTGACTCATATATATGTTATGCTCTCATTAGGTGTTAAAGGAGAACTATGAGGCGAGTGATTTTCACTCATCCTCATAGTTCGAGCTGACGTGTGACAATGAAACTGTCACACGTCAGCTCAATAGATCGGTAAGTGAGCAAACGCATACCGTCGCTCGCTCACTACTCGATCTATCCCTGCAGAGAGCTGTGACTGTCACTTACGGCTCCCTGCTGGGATTCCCCCCTCCCTAGCTCTCCGATCCTCCAGCGCTGACTGGCGGAACGGACATGGGAGGGTGCGGGTAAGGCTGTCTCTGCCTCTAGATAGGCAGAGTCAGCTGTCACTCACGCAGCTGGGAGGATCTCGACAGTAATGTCGGGATCCATCCCGGCTGCGGCGGTCTTAGTATACCGTGAGCTGTAGCTCGCTATATACTGAGCTTTGGGTCACGGGAGGATGCTAGTTTATGTCCTCCCGTGACCCTTAGGAGAGCTATGGGGAAAAACACTTACCCCATAGTTCTCTTTTAATGGACAATTAGACATTTTAGCAATAAAAACATTAAGGATATTGTCTATGCTTGGGGGGGAGCAACGATTGGGAGTATTTTTCGGTGATCCTGGAGCTTTAATACACCTTCTAAGTAGATCTGTACAGGGAGCTGCATTGACAGTGTGCCATCTCATATAGACCAGGGAACTCACTTGTCATGCGACATGATGTATTCCAGCTAGCTTTTCTTTGACTTGTTCTTATTCATGACATCAGAGGCTACAGGAATACAAATAGATCACTAATCCAGTATTAGTCAATCACTCTCAGGAAGTGAGCGTTCAATAGCTTTCCTGGTGGGGGGGAGGGGAGCTGACTAAACACAAAATTCTATTTCAGCTAATTAAGCCAATGCAGGATGACAGAAAGAATTGAATTAGGTAAATTGGATGGACAGTACAACAAGTTTGTTAGTTTGATGGTCTTAAGGCGGACATACATGACCCAGTGACTGGTCAACTCTAGACTAATGCAAACATCTGAACACTCAGCCTTACAGCCTTATTATTATTATTATTATTATTGTGTATTATTACTTATAGAACACTGTATAGTTGTCTCCTTATTTAGCTTTGCTTACTTTGCCTAAGCTAAGCACTTGAGCCGTGGTAACCAGGGTCTTAGGTGACCTGAAGGCTAGCAGCTGCTGCCTTGTCTGAACTCGCACACTGTCTCCCGAATCCCGATAGTGAAAAATAGGATTGTGAGGATCACATAACACAGCAAGGCAGGTAAGAGGGATCTAGACAACTATGGAGCTCTAAAGCTTGACCCTGTTGTGCACACTCAAGAGTTAGGAGACAGGTATTTGGACGGGCTTCCTGTTTTTGTCTCTCTTTTGAAAACCCAAAGATTCTGGGTATCCTGTGCATGGAACGTGAATTGTAATTCTGAACAGCTCTCATGTCTACAAGCATCCTTAATATATTCCATAAGTCATTCCATAATGCCATGTCATTCCATAATGACATGGTGACAGAGGCAATTGCCTCAGTCGCCATATCATTAGGGGGGTCGGCAGGTGCATGGGGGG